TTAGCGTCCCGAAAAAACTACTCTACATGAATCTTCAATTCAATGGAGATATACCTGCGGAAACACTAAAAAATCGACTGTCGCGCTCACTTAAGAAGACCTTCTTCGCAGCTGAACTACGACTAACCTCCACAAAACCTATGATTCATGTGAACATGAAGGATAAGCTACCACTGCTGGCCTCATCAATGTGTATTTATCAATTCACCTGATCGTGTGGAGCCAGGTATGTCGGCCGTACCCAGCGCTCGCTTTCCAAACGTATCACCGAACACTTACCGACATGGTTTTACAATGGAGAAAAACAATGTCCCCACAGCTCCATCGTTGAACATCTGATAGAATCCGGACACCAAGCTACACCGCAAACAAACTTCAAAGTTGTCTATAGAGTAAGAAGTAGTCTTCCTAAAGGTGTACGAATCAGAATTCTTCAAACTGCAGAAGCAATGGCGATTCACTTGCTAAGTCCTGAACTCTTCATACAGAAGACGTTCGTTCAATCACTACACTTGCAATGGATGTAATCTGTCTTAATACCCGATAGGTAAATTCTACTAAACTTTTTTCTCTTTCTGCTCTTCATTAGTATTATTTTGTCTTTTCATTTTCAAATTTCCTGTTCTCTGACCCCACCCGATTTAATTTTTACACCTCATCACCACTGTTACTGACTTTACCAACGCTCAATTTCTAGTCATTTATGTTACGTCATCCAACTTATTCACTCAATTTCACTTCTACTCAGTCTCTACCTGTAATTACCTCTGTTGCTACCCTGACCTAAGTTGAAACATTATAGTCAATTATATTACGTCATCTAACCTACTAAGTCAATCTTACTTTATTTGCTGTCTAATTAACCTTGTTTCTATATTAGATCATTCTTGTATTACCTGATTAATTGTCTAAACTTGACAAACCTCATGTACACACACAAAAAAATAGTTATATATAAATGTGATTGTACAGCTATGTGAATGAATTCGCCGTCGAAAAGAGTCTCTTCGCTGAACGATCGATTATATGTCTTTCAAATATCTCTGTATATTGTTGTTATTATTAATACATATGTGTTGACAGACAGGTGAATACACATTCTGTCACTCGTTGTATGTTCTTTCACACACACACACAAACTCTCAATCTGTGATCACCGTGGCTTCACAAAACGTTCGACTTGATTCAAGTTTTGATCACGGATCGATATCAGTAAGAGAACCATTGGAAACCAGAGAGTACTGGACAGATGTTCCGTCCTACTCTGGGACTCACTGGCAGTACGCACCCACCGGATTATTATGATGGAAAGATTAATATCCCATTTGTAGACAAGAAGTCAGCCATTTGGTTGTGTCCAGTGGTGGAAACCAACACTCATTTTTCGTCCCATTTGAAACTCATCAACTGGATGTGTTTAATCCTCAATCAGCGACGGTTCCTCTGGGACCCACCAATAGTACACACTAACAAAAGAAGCAGCTTCGAGTACCTTATCCTAAGAATCCCATTGTGGATAAAACTAATTTTTATATCAAGTTTCTTGATATGATAATGAGCAGAGATAAATTGTGCTCAAAACGTGGTCATCAATCAATATTAATGTATTACACTTTGAGACTTTATCAAGATAAATTTTATCCACAATGGAATTATACTCTACTACAGTGCACAAGTTCTATTCTCACATCTAAGAATCCCAGTGTACAGCTGGTGTGATTGACCTTGAAATATTGAAGTGACCTACGGAGTTACACACGTTAGAGGAAATATCCCTTAAGCTCCTACCATGTCGGAAAGGTCGACTGCTTATTCGTTGGACTAAAAGTAGTTAGCATGATAGTTTCTATCGTTTACTCTAAATTCGGGCTACCGCCGAAGTGAGATTTAACAGCGTTAAGGTTTCTCCTTCAGACGACCAGCAAGCTAGCTCTGCTGTCTCCCCGCTCTATGAAATTCTGTAGACTCTACTTCAAAGTGTATCTAAAAGTCCTACTATGAACTACTTGACCTATTTAAATATGATTGGTCATTAGTATGTACCGCTATTTTATATAACTGAGAAACTCGAGGTTAAACCACAGATTGATATCAGTTAGAGGCCCATTGGAAACCAGGGAGTTCTGGACATCTGTTTCGTCAGCTTAGTTTGGGTGGTGGTGATCCCGCTAAAATCAAGAATTGATAGAAGTTAGACTTCATGCAGTGGCCATTGAATCGGGTCCCAGTGGCTGAATGGTATACGAGATTGCCATGTAACCAGAACCCTGGTGGTGGGTGCATACTACCAATGAGTCACGATCCAGGACGAAACTGCTGGCTGTCCAGTGGTTCTCTAACGGATATGAATCCGTGGTCTAACCTGAAGTAAGCAGAATCCCTACAAACGAATTCTTGAAAACTGACTAATTTTCAGACAGTTCATTTTATTACTTTGACCCATGCTAGTTGTAAAGTGATTGTAGATAAACTATGAAATGATACCATCATCTCGCGAAATTTGTCTTCTAAGTGAGTTTAAAACAAGCAATAAAGGTTAATGAAGCAGGATTTAATGATGGATTCATCAAATTTCGGTATAACTACCCTTCAGCTGAATACTCTACATACACGGATATATATACACTTTTGAAATTACATTGGGAGATACAAGACTGATAAGCACAAATAAACTACATTGAATTAGTCATGCAGGAAGACAGGTGTGAATGTTTCTCCAGGTCATGTTCAAATAGGTAAGGGAAGAGGGGGTATGAGAGATTAATATTTAGATAAAATGTATTATGCCTCAATTACCTCACTTAAATAAACAATTAGACATTAGAGAAAGAACTTAATTATGTTAAGAATTGCGAACTGCGTAATATTAATAATAATAATGCTGAAACTAGTTTCAGTGTGTTTGTGGAAGCAGATACATAGGTCGTACAGAAAGGCGAGTGATTATCTACTCGCATGATGGAGCATTTGCCAAAATGGTTGAAAATTGCTGAGTGCAAAGTGCCAAAATCCTCAATAACAAAACATCTTATGGACTACGGACATGATATTGACGTTGTCAAGTTATTTTCTGTTGTCAGCGAGCAGACAAAGAAACAGAAAGATGCTTGCAATTGTAGAGACTTGTGCAATTCGAGTTTATAAACCAGGTCTCTGTGTACAAAAGGAGATGGTGGTCACTCTGAATCTACCATGGTAATACGCTTTACTTATTATTCTACCTCTTATTATTCTCATTATTATTATTATAACTATCCTTTATCAGTAGGATTATCTTAACTCACTTCAGCATTATTATTATTGTTATTATAACTGTTACTATTGATATTACTCTGTTTGCAATTCTCGATATATTCTCTTATGTCTAATTGTTTATCTAAGTGAGGTAATTGAAGCATAATACATTTTATCTAAATATTAATCTCTCATACCCCCTCTTCCCTTACCTATTTGAACATGACCTGGAGAAACATTCACACCTGTCTTCCTGCATGACTAATTCAATGTAGTTTATTTGTGCTTATCAGTCTTGTATCTCCCAATGTAATTTCAAAAGTGTATATATATCCGTGTATGTAGAGTATTCAGCTGAAGGGTAGTTATACCGAAATTTGATGAATCCATCATTAAATCCTGCTTTATTAACCTTTATTGCTTGTTTTAAATTCGTATCGGGAAATAAATGTTTTCAGTTCTAAGTGAGTTATTCAAAAATATCGCAGTTTACCTCTTGGTAGTCCGTAACTGGTGGTAAGATTTTAAAAGGGCATAACTCCAAAAACCAGCTGAAACAAATCGTGTATTTGTGTCACTATCTTTAGTCTCCAAAGCCTCAGGATGGTCGGGGGTGGGTGCCTTGCGCTGCGGGTTGGCCACCCCTCCGCACACCTCTTGAAATGCTCCCATATGACCGGGCGTCTTACATAGCCTCTCCTGAGGAAGTCATACTCACTGCCTTCACGTGGCGGAAGTGTTTTTCACCAAAGTGAGAGGGCGAAAGCGGATGCCCGGCGCTCTTCACCTGGTTGACTGTCCATTGGATGACAGTCTAGGGGAGATGGCTAAACCCTGATTCCAAACCTCCAACGACTGGCGTATGAAGATCACTGGAGCTTACCGGCAGACGTATGGACGAAGGGCTTGTTGGATGTCCTGGATGTCTGGCCCCATTGAAAAAGGCGTATGAACCGGATTCCGGTCACCGGCTGCCAATGGATAGTGGACTCCCTGCTCCACTCCTACTGCCTTGTAGGTCACACTTGGTTGTGTAAAGGCTAGAGCTGTACTCTCAAACAAAAGTCCGAGCGATTCTTGAGACATCACTCGTACCAAATTCCCATGAAACCTCATGAACTCTGTTACAAACGACCTGGCCTCTTCGCGCGGAAGATGTACGCAGACTCGAAGTAGTAGACCATTGGTGCCTCAGGTACATTCTGCATGTTCGCTGGCAGGACAAACTCTCCAACGAAGAAGTGCGTCGTCGTTGCTACAACATCAACCAAATACCAGTACTAGTTCAACAACGTCGCCTTCGGTGGTTTGGCCATTTTCTGCGCCGACCAGATGACGATCTGGTCAAATCAGTTCTAAATCCCTCTCCATTACCATCTTGGCGATGTCGCAGGGGTGGACAGCTGAAAACATGGCTTGGTACAGGCAGGGCTGATATGGAGTGCCTGGGGCTACAAACCGTCTACGGACTCCGTCTGTGGAACAAGAATTGGATAACCCTGTCGCAAAACCTTGCATCAGATCGCCGTGCCTGGGCAGCGATGATTCCAGATGTTAATGAAGCCGGCTCATCCTCCCGTAGGAGATAGCCGAAGTAAAGTAAAGTAAGTTTAGGCAGTTATCCCTTGCACTATGCAGTCACGGATTTTTGAAGAATCCTAATAATATGTCCAGTGGAACCAATATATCAAAATAATTCTAATCAGTGCAGTTAAATATGAATATAAATCAATTATAACTTGTTTTAACAAACATAGCTGACTCACCTTTGTTTTATATTGACAGACTGGATCAAACAGCCCATTTAAAACAATCACTGAGGTTGTGTTAATCTGATATATTACATATACACATAAAAAAATTAGTATTCCAGCTGATAGATAGTAATATAACCTCCTAGCTGATCTATTTGTATACATTGAAGAGGCAATAAAACTTCCTCTGGATTTTCTCATTTTTAGTTTTTAGTTAAAATGCATAAAAATGGCGGGAAAGGTAAAAATTCCTTCTGCCTTGAAATCAGGAACACAGACTGATTGAAGATAGTAGTCAATGAGAGAGCGAGGGAACTTCATGAAGCAGTTGAATCACACTCAATAATTAATTAATGAATTAATTATCATTACTATCGTGTAAATTGAAAGACAATGAATGTACGGTTTCCATAAACTGAAATGAAGTTTAAAAATTTGCTTACTCCTGATTGGCAGTTCGCATGACCTTAAAATATATATGTCAAAATAAAGCTGGCCAATCAAAATACACGAATATAAGGCAAAAAAGGTTCAGCGAAGAGTCTCTTTTCGCCAGCGAATTCATTCACTTAGCTGTACAATCGCATTCGTATATAATTATCTTGTGTGTGTGTGTTTACATTAGGACTGTCAAACAAAAATAAAACAAAAATTACTTAAGGTTATTGTTCACGTCATCAACACGTTTCAAGAACGTGACGAATAATCAGATTGTAACTGGGGTGGGTGGAGTGAAGATTGGTAAGTATTGGCAAGGGTTGCGTAATATAAAATAGAATGTTAATGGAGACATGTATCCAAAATACATTGTGTAAGAGGTAGAAAGATTCAATAAAAAAGGTTACCAGACCGAAGTAGATTACTGACTCTCCAGGTGACAGTTTGCATCTGCCTTCGCAGTTACTCAGCACTTCTACGCCATATCCTCATATTTCGTTGGCTACTTGGGAAGCCTATCTAGTCGCATACATTGTACGGACATTCCACATCCCTATTCTTATTCTTGGTTTCATCGAGAGAAGGAACGCCGGCTGGCTGACTAGCTTCCCGAAGGCTTTCACCAGCCCGCTGTGTCATTACGCCTCCCCAATTCGAGCGAAGATTAAGATCGCTCTTTAAATTTTTTGTATTTTTAATATATTTTTTCTATGTTGAAGTTTCTCTAGCGGTTTGACAGGTTTAGTAGTGTGAGCTTGCTAGCCCTACTCTTAACCCTTCCTCTTTATCCGGGCTTGGGATCGGCTAGAAAACTAGCAAGCTAGTTAACTACGCGAGGTTATAAGTTAACATAGTATGACTTAATGAATTCAGCAAATTTTGGTAGGACTCTTCAGCTGACTACTCTGCATACAGGGATGTGCATGCCATTAGAATTACTAAGGGAGATATAAGACTGATAAGCAAATAAAGTACATTGAATTCATCATGCAAAACGAGAGGTGCGATTGTTTTTCAGGTCATGTTTAAATAGTCATACTCCTCCCTTCCCCTTATCTATTTGCACATGTCCTGAAAAACATTCACACCTGTCGTTCTGCCTGACGGTTTCAATTTAATTTATTTACTTATTAGTCTAAAATATCTTCCAAAAGTTATCCTTATTGCTTGTTGTAAATTCGTACAGGGAAATGCGTGTTTCCAGATTCTCTAATAATTTAATCTGACTTTTAATTATATTATTATAATTAACTATTGGGACCCGACTCAATGCCTCATGAATTCTAACTTCTACCAATTCGTGATTTTTGGCGCGACCCCAACTATTGTCGTTGGTGGGACATCCATCCACACACGTGACTTCTAACTGCACCTCACTAGTCACGACTTCTCACTAGAACTACAGGAAGCTCCAACCTGTAGCAAGTCACTAGCGAGCATCAGAATAATTTTCTATAGTTTGGTTTGTAAGGATTAGTTATGTTTTACGAGTTGATCACGGACTGATATCAGTTAGAGAACCATTGAAAACCAGGGAGTACTGGACAGCTGCTGTTTCATCCTAGTTTTAGAATCATCGGTAGTACGCACCCACTAAATATTTCTCTTCTCCTGTGGAGCAGGGTACAACAGCTGTAGCCAAGTAATACTTTTTACACATGAATACGACAGCACATTACAACATGGTTTTAGGCAAAGGAGAAAGGAATGGTGCGTGAGAAGCTTTATTCTAGAACAGCAGATTTATTTCTTACAGTAGTTCACCAACCCTTACCATGATTTTAAGGATATCTATCAAATTGCTGTTAGCTTGTTACGTTTTCTTCATACGGAACTTCTGAAGACAACTAAGGTCTTAGTCATTCATGAATGCAAGTCAGATCTATGGGTACATAAGAAGTATTTTCAATCGCTATTTCCACCTTCGCCCTAGAGGGATAAACATTTGTTTATTTTTCATTTTGTTTATTTAATCTGTTAAATATTCGCTTAGTAAAATTTAGAACAACAATATCATGCTTTGAACTAGATCACATCTTCACTGCCCTTGATACATTACTCAAATAATCAAACTTGAATGAGGAAACACAGGAAGAGATACGCCAAACAATCGTACCAGTGGCGAAATAGAAAAAACAACACACACGACTCTCAAGAACTAAAGGCCCTCAAAAAGCTGAAAAATAGTAAGGACATCTTCATCCTACCAGCTGACAAAGGAAGAACAACAATGGTCATGAAAAGGGAAGAATACACCAAGAAAACTGAAGAACTACTCAAAGATGAGGATGTATATCAACAAATCACAACAAATCCCTTACAAACATGAGGCAACCACATCCAAAGAACCTTAAACAAGCTCATCAAAATAGGTCATATCACAGAACAAGACCAATGTCGAATGAAATCCAGTGGACCAGTCCTACCCAAATTCTACCGCAGACCCAAAATACATAAGCCAAATATCCCGTTACGACCAATTGTATCACTTCCAGGAACTTAAACATACAATTTTTCCGAAGAATTATACAGAAAATTGAAAAACCTAACGGATTTCTGTAATCACTCCATCAATTCTGCTATTCAAATTCTAGAGAAAATCAGAGGCATTCAAATAGATGATACCCTTCGACGTCACAGCATTATATACTTCAAACGGAAAGAAATTAGCAAACGAGACGATGGAGAAATTACTCAGGAACGACGAACACGTCCGACAACAATCAAAAATGCAACACACAAGTTGGATGGAATGCATAATCTTATGCCTAACAACGTACTTTCAATTCAACAGTCAAATATATGAACAAGTCAAAGGAACACCCATGAGATCGTCAATATCAGGTTTGATTGCACGCAAATAAACTATCCAGCTCAGAGAGCACAACCAGACCAAAATCATCCACCCGAGCTATAAATCTTCTCTATCATCCCTAGATCTCATCAAGCTTAACTCTAATGCATATCACTTAACAAATAGTTATACTTATATACAATAATAATAATAATTTGCTTTATTCCAACACAGTACTTGTGATACAGAATGGAATTCTCAGCATTTTTACTACAGTATTGCATCCAGTTAGTACATTATCAATAAATAAAATTCTACATAAATTAAGGAAATCTCAGTTCATTATGACAACAACATATTGGCATGTCGGTAGCAAAGCCAAAGTTGAACAGTGTTTGAAGGTGTTAGAAAAGTGGGAGCTGTCATATTTACTGGCGTAAGCGAGAGAAAGAAACAAAGCAGCACATAACGGAAAAAAAGAGAGAGAGAAGGAAAAGAAAGAAAGAAGATGTTGTACCTATACATGATATGAGTTGGAAAGACGAGGTCCAGTTGTCCTACTGACTATGTAATAAGTTATAAGTCTCACGCCCAATGCTTTCTTTATCCCACAGAACATGAGCCAAGTAGGGTATGGTTGAGTTTTTGTACTTTCTGGTGCGAGCATATAGTTTTCTATATAGGCTTCTGGTCCTGCCTAATGAGATACAAGGGGAGAGTTGTGAGTGAAGAGGGTGTTGTGAGTTAGATAGAATGAATTTAGCCCATTTTTCACATGAGTCCCTGTGCCTGTCGACCATAATATTAACAAGCTGGTTAAGTGGCACGTTGCTTACCCTGCTGACAACCCTTAACACTCTACGTAATAAGATATAGCCCTTCTTCAGTAACCCTGGAAAAACTAAGGGGGAAAAATAGAGAATAATAGGCAGGGTGCAAGACTTAACGAATCGTAAGAGAAAGGGTTGGGTTATTCCAGAATGTTTTAACTTCTTGATGTAGAAGGTAAGACGGAATATTTTCTTAGAAACCATCAAGATATGAGACGACCAGGAAAGATCAGCGGATAGAATGACGCCAAGATATTTAATTTCCGACTTGGTCTCTATTTCAGTGCCATCTATGTTGCATACCTCGTGAGAGCCAACCAGTTTGTTTAGGTCAGATCTATGCCTAAAGGTGAAATTGACTGTTTGACATTTGGAGGGATTAAAGGTAAAACCGTTTTCCTTAGACCACTGGCTGATTTCTGACAGAAAGCTATTAAGTTTACAGTAGTCACTTTGACATTTGACAGGCAAAGATACAGTCAGATCGTCAGCACATCTAACAAAATTAATGTCATTTGAAGGCGGTAAGTCATGTAGGAAGAAAGAAAAGAGAAGTGGGGAGAGTACAGCACTTTGGGGGACACAAACTTCAGTGAGTACAGCAGAGGATGATTTGCTCTTGTATACAGTGTACTGCATTCTGTTAGAGAAGTAGGAGTGCAACCAGTTAGTGACCCAGGACACAGTTTTGTCATGGAGAGCTTATTTAGCAAGAGACATCTAGGTACAGAGTCGAAAGCAGAAGTGAAGTCGAGAAACGTGCAGAAATATGAACCAAACATTTTAATCTCTCAATAAGAGGATAGAATTGTACATAAATTGTGCAGTTAGTTATAATAATGGTCTATAATCTGTTATGTCTTCGCCTGGTAATTGGTAATAACGGTAATGAACTCGACTGGTATGCTAATGTGCCTATTTGTAGGTTGTATCTTCCGATTCACTGAGTCACGTAAACATCAAAGGACAAAGGCTGACCTGTGACTGCACTGTGCTGTATATTTATTGAGAAAACGACATATGATATTGATACATTTTCTTTACAACAATAAGGTCGGCTCACAACCGTAGGAAAAAAACTGATCACGCAAGACACAATATGCATGAGAAATGATTGATCGCATAATCAATGACAATATGCGTTAGAAAGGACGATTTACTATTTTGTGCGGGATCCTATCAAAGCTCACCTCGTAACTGGAAGGTCCTGCGTTCCGGCACCTGTGGGTGCACACTGATGAAGGGTCCCGAAATAGGACAAAGGAACTGTCCAGTATTCCCAGGTGGTTTTCGAATGGTCCTCTAAAAAATGTCAGCTCTCGATGTCGCCGCC